GGAAAATGATTGTACAAAAAAGTGGTCAACTACAAAAATGAAGCTCTAGCTATGCTTAATAAGCTCAAAAAATTTATAAGCGGTAGAGAAATTTTTGACTGCGTGGCTCCTTCTCAAAGTCAGCCTGAATCAGCTATGCTTTTGAACAGTACTGTATGTTCAGAGTCTCTTATCTCGATGGATTTCGAAATTAATAACATGTGGTCAACTGAACAAATGTTGACTGGCAAAAATGAAACATTTTATTAGTTGAAAACTTTTTGATAGCTCTTAACATAACCGAGATATGGTAGTTCGAAGACCTCGTCCACCAATTTTTTCCCTAAAAATTGTTTAAAACCAACACAATTATGATTGTTGATTGTTGGCCAGCTCTCAATATTTTTTGCAACTTTTCGTGCTAACCTATTTATTATCTTCTCTTTATCTTATCCTCTCCCTAACGTATCCATTTCAGCCGCCCGAGTTTTACTCTCTCTTTTGTAATTCGACACTTCTCTCCTATCACCTTTACTCGGTTTTTTTGTTGTGTTTTGTGATTTCTGTTATTGATTTTTGGGGATATTTTTTGTAGGGACCCTTACCAACTTTGTAGTTCGTGTGGAGTTCAGCGATTCTGAAACTCATAGGGGTAGTGTAAAAATTGGTTACGGTAGGAATTTTGATGGATTCTTTAGTTTTTTTGGCTAAAACTATTAAAATGTCTTAAACCGTCTGATGAAAAATATGTACTTTTTGTTCTGCAGGCTCTAATCGGATGAACTGGAAATACAAGATAAATTAAAGGCGCATAGGGTTCGGCCTTAAAAAAAAGTTGATTTCAGCGATTTAGGCTGACTTTGAGCATCCGCCACTCGGTCAAAAAGTTTTCTATGGCTCCAGAAATTTTTTTTTTCATATCAACCATAGCTAGAACTTCATTTTTGTAGTTGACAACTTTTTTGTGCAACCACTTTCTCGGCGGATAGAGCTCGTCAAAAATGACTACCACAGAAAAAAAATTGAAAAAAAAAAATTGAAAAAAAAAACTAAAAAAATGTTTGCAAAACCAACACCTAGTATCATAATAGAGTCTACTCAATCACTTTTTCCTCTTTCCATTCATCCAATATCAAAAGACCGCCCGTCTCATTAGATCAACGACAACAAAATGCTTCTTCCTTCCTCCTTCTCTCTGTGCTCTCAAGAACAACTGTGGGGTGACTTTCACACTGCGTCTCTTCGTCTTCCACACTATTTTCCGATTTTCAACTCATTTGTCGCAAAATCTTCGCATCATCATCTCTATTTCTTTCTCTACTATACCTCAAAACTTTATCACTTTTTGTCCATGCTTCCATCTCTTCTTATCCCCGTCCGTCCCATGGACGACGGGACACGTCTTTGTGTTTTATGTGTCTGCGGGACCCCACGAGGAGCACCAATATTATATATTTATTATACTAGTTTTTGAGAAATTATGATCAGAATGACACGTGGCAGTTTTTAGTCAGATGAGATTAGTTGGGAGGGATAGGAATTTTCTATAAATCAGTGGTCTAAAAGTGGATGCTTCTTTGAACGGATTCTGAAATTTCCAGCCCTCACTGGGGCCTGAGAGTCTGGAAATCTTCATCTGAATATCTGGCCCCGCCCCCTTCAAATGAGGATTTCCAGACTCTCATGCTCCAGTGAGGGCTGGAAATCTCCGAATCCAGTCACAGAAGCATCTACTTTTAGACCACCAACTTATAGAAAATTCCTAACCAATGTGAAAAAACATCCCTTGTCAGCCAGTCTTCGAATTTTTGAGTTGACCTTTGATCTAGACACACTGGAGTTTTGATAGTTGCCCTAACCCTCTTGGTGCTTCTTGGAAACAGGAAACCGTATTATATTTTTCCGATCAGTGAGGACTAGCTATTCTTGGGCGTTTCTCAGATCTAATTCCGTCTTTGGGAACGATCTCAGCTGTCCAGCCTTCCTTCTAGAAAAAACTGTAGACCTTTCAGTTTCTGAACCACCAAATTGGAATTTTTGCCATTTTGAAAAATATTTCTGAAGATTTTTCGAATGAAAAAAAAAACAACTTTCAAAATTTACCAAACTCAATCACTTCTTTAGGATCCTTACGATCCTGTAGTACTGGGAAGTTCGTTTTTGTAATCGCGTCTGGTTTGACGGAACTTCGCTTTCCAAGACTTCAGATTCTGTTGTTTCGACACTCTGGGCACTGAGGAGGATGTTCCTGAACTGTCCAAACGATTGCTTTATTTTGGGAGAAATTTAAACATAAAAAGCCCCAATTTTCAGTACCTCAACGATCTTTTTTGTCTAAAGAATCAGTTTTCCGTATTTTTCGCTCTTGCCTCATACTATTTTGACCGATTCCTGCGCCGTCGATTCGATTTTACGTGGTTAACCCTGTCAGAACTGAAACGTAGGGAGAAATTTTTTTGTATGCCTATAATGATCGTAGAGGTACTAGAACCCTGACACACTTTTGGAGATCAGAAAGTAGTTTTTGAAAGAGCTGAGACAATAGTTTTCGAGGTTTTGATAGAAAAATAAGAGAAGAAAGGATCTATATTTTAGGACTGATGAAATTTTGAAACAAAGAATAATAGTAACAAATTCGGAAGTTCAAACTCTGAAAATCCAAAGATCACCTTTCGAAATATCTTGATCTGTTTGATTCCTGCCAGATTGCTCAATAGTTTTCTAGATTTCAAATGTTCCCCGAAATCCCAGCAAGTAAGAAACCCCACAAAAAGTACGAACTAAAAGTGCACAGACATTGAAATTTCCAAATTTATTCCTTCTTCGTTCTCCCAAAAAAATCCATGGGGCTTCCTCTCCCTCTCTCTCCCTCTCTCTGCTAGTCATTCAAAAATGATGGAGGCTGTCACCACAACACGACCGCATCATACTCTTTCTTCCCATCTCCTCTCTCGTTATCTCTCCGTCTCTCTGATCCGTACACTATTCCCTCCCCTTCAATGGTCCCTTCTCTTCCCGGGCGGGAAGACGGAAAAAAGGCTTCTCTAGAGAGATCCTTTTCCCTTTCGAAACCAACTGTCTCTGTTACACTCTCTGCGTCTCTCTTGGCTCTGTGTGCTATCTCGATTTTTTGATGAATAATCACGGATCAAATGATAGATACAACAATGCGACACGATGCGAGATATATAGAAGAGAGACACGCGGCGGCGGGGCTCTTTTTTCAAAGTGTGTAGTCTGTGACTTTAGATCATTATTGTTTCTGTTTTAATTTGAATAATTTGAAAGGAGGGAGCATGTTCATTGATTTTTTGAAAATCTAGCTTTCTTGTGTTCAGCTTGAAGAGAGCTTGACTTTGAGGACACTAGATTCCATTTAAACGTTTACTTAGTGGTTTATCTTGCTCAAAACTCCAGATTGATTTTTGTTTGTTAATTGTGATTTCCGTCGAACGATAGCTTATCAGGTTACGGCTTGACGTGTTCAGTTATTTTGAGACTTTCGTCGTTTTACAGTTTTGTCGAATTTCAGTTCTTCACTTCTGCCTTTGACCTTTGTTCCCCACCCTACCGTTAGTTTTTGATCTACCTCTTATCTCCAGGATAACCCGACGCTTTGAAAAACATTAATTTTGAAAATCCCGTTTTGTTTCTCATTTTTCCTTCGAGCCTTACCAAACTCTTAGTTTTCTTTCTTGCTAGCAGCTTCATGTACCGTAAATCCTGTAATTGAGGCGCCCTGTATAATCAGAGCAACATATCTCGATTGTCTTTAAAGCTATCGAAAAATGTTCAACTAATGAAATGTGTAAAATGTTTTACTTGACATTTTTTCAGTTGACTACTTTTTGATAGCTTCAAAGACAATCGAGATATGCTGCTCCGAACTTTAAGTACTGTGTGTGCATAAGTTTTTCATATACTTTTTTGACCTACCCTGACCCTTAATTTTTGATCTACCTCTTATCTCTCGGATCTCCTGAAGAGGTCGGTCATTTATTGATTTTTCCTTCTCCCTTATTTCAAATTTTTTTAGTCGGCATTCTTTCAAACCAATCTCTCAATCTTATTTGTATCTTGGCTCAATTTGGACCACCATGAATTTACAGCCACGTAAGAAATAGACATGCTGTAAAAAGTCAAAGCTTAGTAATTTATTTTCAGGTTTCAGGGGCTTCGGAACTATGATAGTTTTTTTTAAAGTTTCCCCCTTTATAATTTTCAAAAATTGTCTCCCTAAAAAAAAGAAAAATAGTGCAAATTAATAAAAACCAACTCTTCCTTCCTCTTCCTTTCCCATCCTCATTCGCATTCTTTTCCGTTTTTTTATTCTTCTATGGACTTTTTCTTCGTTTTTTTATACTAAAACTTTCTTCTCATTCACTTTTTTTTCTCAAAGAATGCACGTTCTCGAAAAGTTTATTGGTCGAATGACTTTGTGGTATTTTTTGAGTACAAAATCCAAAATATCAAAATATCTCAGTTAGGAAAATAGTTATGGGAAAAGTGTCAACTATAAAGTTGTAGGAAATTTAATTTTGGACAAGATTTTAGTTGGCAATTTTTTTGTAACTTTAACGGGAACCCTGATAAATCGGCTGGAAACGAGAATACTTTTTTTTCTAGATCTAAAAATCCCTAGACTCTGTTTTGTGCTTTCTCTATATTCCAATTAATTAGATTTTTTTCAAACTTTTTGAAAAAACTTCCTGAAATCCTCCTATGCCTCTCTTCTCATAATTTTCTTTTCTTTGCTCTGAAAATTCCAAATTAGTTTCATCTCCTTCTTCTTCTCCCTTTTCCATTCAACCCCTCTTCCCTTACTCAAATATTTTGTATCAAACAGATTTTTGTTTATATTTTCTTCTTCTTCTTGTCGCCATACTTTTCAAGGGAGTGTCTGTCTATATAAATAATAAACATTTTGTGGGATTTTCCCCACAAGAACACATATTTTGGAAACTAAAGCTTCTTTGCACTCTTTTTCTGGAAGAAAAACAAAAAAGAAAAAAAATTAGTTTTTCACTAGTGGGAGTCGAACCCACGACCCTTTTGACTTGAGATGTGATAGGCAAAAGCGTAACCACTGCGCTAAGCGAGCCTAGACGCCAAGGGTGGTCAGGGCGTATAAGTTTATCGTTCCCATGACAACAGGTGTAAGGAGACGCGTAGATTTTTGTAAAAAAAAAAAGATAGTAGTGCAAACGCGCTCCGTTGGCAATTTTTTTTCTCATTTGCTAGATAAAAGATAAAAAAGATAAATCTGTTTCGAACTGCCTTCCTTCCTGTAGTATAGGCTATCCTGTAACTTAGAAACACTGTATGTTCAGAGCAGGATATCTCGGTTGCCATTAGAGCTATCAAAAAGTTGTCAACTGGTGAAATGTGTAAAATTGTTTGTTAAATATTTTTTTGATTGACCACTTTTTGGTAGCTCCAAAGACAACCGAGATATGCAGCTTTGAATATACAGTTTCCTTTGTAACAGTGGTTTGTCTAGTACTTACCGTTTAGAGCAGCATACCTCGGTTACCATTAGAGCTATCAAAGAGTGGTCAACTAAAAAAGTGTTAGGTAAAATATTTTAAACATTTTACTAGTTGAACATTTTTTCATAGCTTCAAAGGCAACCGAGATATGCTGCTTTGAACATACACTGCCCAGATCACTGGATTTGCATTATAGAATTCTCTGAAAATCTTGGTCCAATCGAAGCTTTTCAGTTGTTTTTTCCAAATAATCCGTTCTTTTTTTCCGTATTTTCCGTACTTTTTCTCTGAATTTTTTTTTTCGAAAGTTCCATTCCAACCCCCTATTTTTATTCCAGATGCACGAGACTGACGGAGGAAGAAGCATCTGAAAACCCATCAAAATTTCCCGTTTTTTGCGACGACGACGAATCCAGAAGAAGAAGAAGAGGAGAGGACAGTGATCGAAGAAGGAGGCGGCGGAGGAGGACACGATGAGAGCGGTACGCGATTTTTTTTTGTATTGGGAAAAGTTCAAAAAAGGAGAAAAAAAATCTAATGTTTTGATACGGTTGTCAGGGTGTTTTACAAATCTGATATCATCGGAATCCGAAAAAAAAAATTGGGAAAACAGTAAAATTCTGGGTAAACTGACGTCATGTACTAAATCATTGTATGAAACCCTGCCCCCAGAAGACGTCATTTGGCGAAGAAGAGGCCCCGAACTGATTTGCGATTCTGGAAAAAGTCTCCTCTCGGGTAACTCTCAAGTGTTTTGGGTGTAGTTGGTTCCTCTCGATTTTCTCTCGGTCTTTTTTGTTCTTCCGGGAGAGAAGAAGCAATGGTTGTGCCCGCCGTTTTAAATTGTATTAGTCTCATTTGATTTGTTTCATTTTCCCCTCCCTTTTTCTGGACTTTAAATATACTTTGTGGACTTTTGGTTTCGGATTTTTGCTTGGAAGGCCTTTTTACCTAGATTGTATTTGGCGGATTTTCGAAACTTACATTTTAGACCCAATTTCTAACGTTTTATCAATAGAGCGCTTTTTCTGACACTTCCAATTTTATGTGCGTGTTTTTCATCAGAGTGAGTGTCCTGGTTGCCAGGGGTGCTTCTCCTCCCCCCCCCTTCTCTCGTATACGCCCTCCAGCCCTTCTCATGCAGTGCCGGCGTAGCCTAGTGGTTTACGCTTTTGCCCTTCACGCGATGACCCGTGGGTTCGAGCCCACCTGACTGTATTTTCTTTTTTTCTTTTTTCTCTACAACCAACTTTGCTCTTTTTTCATTGCTCTATGAAAGAACAAGTACGTACACACATACAAACACTCTCGACGACACCTCCCTCCTGGCCTGACACTTCTCCAATTTCCTTTTTTGTGCTGCTCTCAAACACATCCACTAACACACATACACACATAGAAATATCCATATTCATAATAGAACTTGTCGTCCTCGTCCCTTCTTCTTCCTTTTCTCTTCATCGTCGTCACGTCTTCTGGAGATCATCATCATCTTCTTCATCTTCATCTCCAGAAGACGGACGTGACACGTATCTCCCCGGGACTAATTGGTTCTTTTTCTTTTCGCGTTTTTTTTTTGAAAAAAAAATGGGAAAAAAAGTTTTTAGTCTTTGGCAGGATGGCGAAAAAAATTAGATGCAAAAAAATTTTTTTTTGCTCTGTAGAGGAGGAGTCAGTCACATATAGGATAGGGGTGGAAAGAGAGAAAGTATTCTGAAGGACTTGTTTATGAAGAAGGAAAAAGGGTTAGGCAAAAAAAAAGGATGCTTCTCCTCAGATAATTGAGTGAAAAGGAGGAGATGAGAAGTAGGGGAGATGGAGACGAAGAGGAGGAGGAGCCCTTTACCCATATTCACTTTAGGCAAACAAAAAACTACCCAGAGTTAATTTTTTTATTTTTTGCATCCCCGGTGGTCATCATTTACTTTATACTTCCATAATGGATGGACACTCGGCTAAACAATATCAAGTTTCCGGTTGGAAATGTTGGAAAATGCCTAGAAATCGTTTTGATCTACCTTTGTCCGATAGAGCGCACTTTCATCATACGATTTCTCAGAGTTTTCTCGAGGCGCCTCCAGCCACTGATTCCCCCCCCCCCCCGCAATGTCTATGACAACCACCCTGCCTCCTTCAGTGCGGCGCGTGGCGCAGTAGGTTACAGTTTTGCCCGTCGTCCAGAAGGTCAAGGGTTCGATTCCCACCTGTGGTTTTTTGTTTTTTTTTCTTTCTAAAACATTTTTTTTTGAGATTTTAGGTTCCTGGGACCCTCTTCTCTCTATCTCTATACCTTGCATCTCTCCAAACCACCTCTAACCGAATTGTTTCCAACTGCTCGCGTTCCTGCTCATCTCTTTCCTTCATTTTTCTTCTTCTTCTTAGAGACACAATTTTTCGGCGAGCCACTTGGTCCTAAGAAGAGTCCATTTTCGGACTATTTTTGGAACAATAATTAGCCGTCACCAGTCTCCTGTGGTGCACCAATTAGTGCGTTCCAAACCACCTTTTGTCTCAATTTTGAGGTCAAGAGCCAAGGTCCTGGAAAATAAAATTTTTGAATTCCCGCCAAATTTGAAAAATGTGTTACCTCAGAATATCCAGCTCTTTTGTTCCAGAAGTTCTGAAATGAATGAATAGGGAGAAAAAAATATCCTGGAATGAATAGGTCCGTTTATTTCTATGGTCTCCATCTCTGGGACCTCTTATTCTGCGTGAATGGATCCGTTGATAGACCCAAGAGGAGAGAGAAGATGCTCCATCAGAGAGAGACGAAGAGACGCAGAGAGAATCGCTCCTTTTTTGTTCCTTCTCATATATATATTGAGAGAGAGAGGGAGAGAATAGAAAGACCCGCCCCGGATCGAGTTCAGCCAAGCACAAGCCGTGCCTCGAACTAATTGCTCTATTTGTGCTGCTCCTCACTCCTTGGATCCTGTGCTCTTTTGGTTTTTTTTTCGTCTCTGCTGGAAGAGCCGTTTTTGGGAGGGAATGTTCCATTTTTTTCCTCTCGATTTTCTCAGTTTTCAACCTAGATTTTGCTTGGGCTTTCCATAGCAGCTTACGAACAACTATTTGATCTACCTATGTCCAATAGAGCGCCTTTGCATCTTCCACTGATTTCAATCAGTTAGTCAGGCTACCCTGTCTCTCTGTCCCCCCCTCCCCCCTGGTTCGCTTTCTTATACGCCTTCCACAGTTCTTCCCGCAACTGTAACAGTAGCCAAGTGGCTACCACTTTTGTCCATCGTTCACGAGGTCCAGGTTCGACCCCCACCAAGGTCAAATCTTTTTTTTTCTTTTTTTAAACATGATAGAAACACAAAAAGGACTCTATCCGTTTTTTTTCTTGAAAAGAAAAAAAAAAAGAAAAAAACCAATCTGCCTAAGTGACCCCTTGGCTGTAGTCCTAGTTCGCACACACCTTTTCGTCTGATAAATCTCGAATTTTTTTAGCAAAAGGGATAATCAGGAAGTGTAGGTATTTGTGTAATTTCCGGGATTTTCCCACCAATCCATCATCAGATGATATTTTAGTATTCGAAAAGAGGAGCTGTTTTCTTCAAGTTTTCGTCGCCGCCTCGTCATAAAGTTTTGTCTTCTTTTTTCCCCCAACCAACCACAACCCGTCCGTCTCGGCTCATTTTCGATTAAAAAGTTTGTGTTTGCATTACAAAATAAAAAAGAATATATATAAAACATCTGCTCATTTTCGATTTCCGTCCCGTCGTTGTTGGCTGGTTGGTCGACGGCGACGAGTGGCTTTAGTTAGTTCTTGTTGTCACCCCAGGCAACTGAAAACTACTTTTTATGAAAATAGTAAAAAGAAAAAATAATTTTTGAGTGGAAGGTTTCGAACCCCTGACCTTTTGATCCATAGACAAAACTGTTAGCCACTTGGCTATGCGTGCAGTAGGTGGCAAAGATGAAGAGAGGCTAGAGGTGTTTTTGGAGAGCGCGCGGAGGGGTTATAAGGGTTGTTCTTGTCGGAAAACAGTTTTTCGAGCATTTTCCGAATTGTAGAAATCGAAAAATCAGGAAAAAGCTATTCTTGATATCTCACCACGAAAACTACCGTTTAAATTTAATTGCTACCGTAAGAAATTTCGAAAATGTTTGTTTATTTATCGATTTTCAACGAATTTTCATTTTTTTCCCAAGAAAAAAACTAGAAAAATCGCTGAAAATCGATAGAAATTTATGAAATTCGATAAAATTTATACGGTAGTTTTCGTGGTGAGATATCGGGGCTGTCCAGTTGTCGGATCTTCGGCCAGCACTTGTTATTTACACTGATTACCATGAAACCGAAAAAAAAATAATGAAAAAAAATCAATTTTTTTTTCAAAATACCGCGTGAAACTCGTGTAGTCTGCGTGAACAATATTTTACGGACAATTTGAAAAAAAAAAATTTTTTTTCATTGTTTTTATACCGCTTTTGATCTGTTTCCCGTCAAAAAAAAAGAGATTAATTTCGAATATTTTTTACAAATTTTTCGCCTATCAGAATTTCGAAAAAAAATATTTTTGGGATTTTTTTTGACGCAACCTAGTGAGGGAACCCTCAGACCGCCCGGAAACCCAAAAATAAAGACAGACTGCTGAAACCTA